GTTGCGCATGGCCCCATTATCTACCAGGGGCCCTACTCTACCTCTGAAAATCTCTACATCTACTAAAACTAGCTGTCCCCTACTCTCCTTCTTCATTTTGGCTCAGGCGGGCATCTCTCCTTTAGCTCATCGGCCACGCCTGTGAGGGAAGTGCCTAGAGAGACCCTAACACAAGCGGTCTCTGGACAGTTATCTAGGCACCGACCTGCAATTTCTGCCATAGGCACATGTGGTGTGGGAGTTTCTTGTTGGCTCGCGCTCGTTTCCCCACATGGCCTTATGGTAGGGGCAGTTGCTACCCCTACCAGCGGCTGCCTTTTGACCCCTGGGCAGCCGAACGGGCCTCTCTATACTTCGGACAAAATTTGATGATGTGGCCAGGGTCACCGCAATATATGCACTGCCCCTGGTCCACACGCTATTGCCAGACGCGCTGGTCTAGGCCCAAGTCCTCCCAAGGCCCACCCTGTGGCAGACATGGGTGTCATCGTCCTCTCCTATAGGGTGATCTATTACCCCTATTAGACGACGTATTCCCTGAACGGTTTTGCGGGGGACCTTGACCCCTTCCTCCCGCTTGGCGGTTTCCTCCTCTACCACCAATACCCTGATCGCCTTGGGAACGGCCCCCTGAGGCCCGGCCCCCTTGGCCTTGGCCTCTACCTCCTCCTTGTGGCCTCCCTTCGGCCGCGACAACAGCGTAAGTCCTCCCCTGGCTAACGCCACTGTCCTCCTCCTCTAGTCCCCACTCAATCTGCTCGTAGGGGACTTCGTCGACACCACCCTCATCTAACGTAAGGATCAAACGATCCTTGGGTCATTTGCAAATCGTTCGCGCAATAACTTAAGAAAATCATTGAGGGGAGTGAACGCAGAGTAGGCGACTAAATCATCATTGCAGCTGGGTGCGCGGCACAAGGACCTGGCAAAACTGGCTGCCTCCTCCCTCAGGGCGTGAATGGCTATTAGGACGTGCTCATCCGGGGAGACTCTCTGTAGGTGCACGTATGTGTTGATATTGGCTTCCCAATTATCAAAATTTTCTTCCTTCTTCCCGCTATAGGAATCCGGGAACTTGATCTTGACCGGCTCCCTACGGGGACGTGCTTCCTCCTCCTTGGGAGCAGTCAATCTGGCGCCTTCTATGGCGCCTGTACAATAACGTTCCGTGCCCTCTAGGCGGGCCCTCACCTTTGAGCCCACCTGCGTCGCCAATTCCCTGGCGAAGTCCCGGAGCCCCAGCCGTATAGAGCGTAAGGCAATGTCCTGACCTCTACCAAACAGATGTTGTTCTTCCTGGACCTGTGCCAGGCGCTCTATGTTTCTCGCCATTATCTCCATCTTCCCCAACAGGTCCACCTTCGTCGCCATCTGCTCTCTTTGCTTCTTTACCTCCGCTAATTCTTTCGCCGCCTGGCTCGCTGCCTCCATTCTTCTTTTCCTCTCCCTCGTCAATCGGAACTTCCACTCCGTCCTCTTCTCATCCTCTATCGCCCGCCGCTTGAGTGGGTCTTCTTCTGCATCCCACTCTTTCATGGCGGCCTCTTGTTCTTCCCTGGGCTCATACATCAGTGCCTCCTCTTCTTCCCCCAGGGATAAACCAGCAACCCACTCCGTAATTTTCTTCTCCATCCGATCTTCCTTTGTACCACTGGATTCACCTCCTTGCCCCCTTCTTCTCCTTTCCAGCGGTTGTTCTTCTACCTCTTCCGCCTCTTCTAGCGCTTTCAATTTCTCTTCCTGCTCTTTCCTCAGCCTCTCTCTCTCTCTGGCCATCTCCTCAATCTTTCTCAATTTCACCGCCTGTTCCTCCATCAGGGCCTTCTTCTTGGCCTCTTTTCTTTTTTTTTCTCTCTTTCGAGATGGCGGCGGCTTTCGCCTCCTGTTCTGCTGTGTAAGGGGAGGTGCTCCGGCCACTACGCATGTCAACCATGGTGAAAGGTGCACAACCAAGTGACAGTTTCGCTGCTCACCACTTCGACTCTCCCCCTAACTGACTCAACTTAAGACTGACTCAGTCTATGGACCACCGGATCCGTATGGAACCCTGTCAACTATGGTCTCTAGCCTAGACTCTAATACTACAGCCATCACTACAGGATCTGTTGCTGACCAGGAGGCATTTAAGGAGATCCCCCGTAACTCCTCAGGAATTCTTTAACGTCGCAAACAGGACAACGCGGTCAGCAGATCCTCTCAAGACTGAGACGGCCCATTGTGCAGCCCACAGCTTGGATTTTGGGCCTACCGTGCCACACCGAGCAGCCCGCCGGTCAGTACCGGTCCTTGGGAGGGTTCGTGTCCTCCGGGACAGTCGAGTTGTCAGACAGTCTTTAGCCCTACTCAGCCCGTGTGGGTTTGGTCAACAAGGCCCTATCCTTGATACACGGAGTCCTATCACCTGGACAGAAGAGACTCGATGCAGAAAGAAAAGACAGACAAACTCAGACTCAGCAAGTACCATAGGGTGAGTGCACATCCATAGGGCGAGGGGATAGGCTAAGGGCTTGGCGAGATTTTACCAACTCCAGCTTGGTCAAAATCGTGGTCAACAGCTCCGGTCAACCCTCCGGTCACCGCCCGGTCAACCTCCAAGTTGGCTATGGCTGCTGGCACCTCCTTCCTCGCCACCCTTCACTTCTCTTTCCCCCTCCTCCACCTTTTTTCTTTCTCCTTTTCTTCTCTCCTTTTTTTTGTTTTTGTTTTTTTTTGTTCACCCTCGGCTATGTCTGTCTTCCACTTCGTTGCCCCTCCTTCCTCCTTCCTCAGCTATGTCTTCCTCTTCCTCTCCGGTATCTCCTCCCTTCTCCACTTCTCCTTCCTTCGTCAACCCTGTGTCCGAGCTCTGCGGCTATGGCCGCCACTCCCTTCTTCGTCGAACTGCACAACCAATCTTGTATCACTCAACTCTCTCTCTCTTCGTGGTGATGTCTTCAGCGCAGGTGCGTAGCAAACCAATCTTGTATCGCTCAGTGCTCTCTCTCTCTCTCTCTCTCTCTCTCTCTCTCTCGGCACCTTCTTCCGCAGCGAAGCTATGGCGGACTTCTTCTTCACGGTGGCGCTCTTCAACTATGGCGCCCTACGGCGCGTCTCTCTCCTGCTGCAACGGCGATGGCGCATGGGATAGCGGGTACCAGCTCTGATACCAGTGCAATCAGACTCACTTCCATTCACACCTCACATGCATGCAAACAGGTTGTGCAGCAGACTGGCGACACGTGCCCACTCAAAACTCAGAGATATGGTAACCACGAACACAGTTCAGATACAATCTCACTTCAGATGGCTATGGCACATCAGCGCCCACACAAATCTCTGTTCGTCACTCACACGACGCTGCTGTTCACACACCGGATCACCCTGGATATCCCACACGCGTCACGCTGTACACGCACACACACACATGCTACTCCCTTCTAATAGCTATGGCGGCTATGGCCGCTGCTACCACTATTGCTATGGCTAAGCTCCTTCTCGCCCTCTTCGTCCTCGGGCTCACTGCAGACCACCTCACACAAGGTGTATGGCAGCGCTTCCGCAAGGCTTACGCAGGAAAGAATGAATGGCTGGGCGCTGCCCCTTGATTTATACTTCTGTAACTCGTTGGTCTGCCCCTTTCCGTCGGCCCATGGTGCACACAGTCCCTCATGGTACTTGCGTGACTGGACTGGGACTGACTGGACCGGTACCGCTGACTGCATGGGTTTGCACTGCCAACTCAATGCAGTCGCACTGCCGACGTAATGCAGCTGGGCTCACCACTTGCCCACTTGCCTCTGACTGAANTCAATGCAGTCGCACTGCCGACGTAATGCAGCTGGGCTCACCACTTGCCCACTTGCCTCTGACTGAAACGTGAGGCAGCTTCGAAAGGCCACTTCTGGACCTTCCGGAAGTGTGTGGACTTGGCCTTTCGAGTACTGTAGCAGGTACGACCTTGACCTTTCAGGACTGTAGCAGCAACGACCTTGACCTTTCAGGATTCCTACAGCTACGACCTCTACAGGGCTGTGACTCCTACTTGACAGATCTACAGATCGAACCCCTACCGTTACGCAGACCTACGATAGACAACAACAACTGTCAAAACACAGGTTACGAGTTCAAACACTCAGGGTCGACACATATACTGTACACAGGTAAGGTGAGAACTAGGGATCGAGCCCTGGGATCTGCATTCGCTACTGCTAACAGGTGAAAACCGTTTCAATATCTTCTCTCCAGTTTTGTGTGGACTTGCCTCCTTTGAGTCTACTGTGCAATCACATGTGTGAATGGGAACGTGTGAATTTGTTGTTTTGTGTGGATTTGCCTCCTTCGGGTCTACTCTGCACTTGCATGCGTGAATGGGAACTTGTGAATTCGTTGTGGATTGAAGCTCAATCGGCTACATAACAAGCACCTCTCCTGTAGGAGGACTGGTTGCTTCAGATTCATTCATAGTCAGTAGGATGCTTTGAAAAAGGCACGATATTGCTTGAAAAAAAGAGAACCTACAAAAATAGTTTCTTATTTTTTCTAACTTGCCAGTGGAATAGGAACCGCAGGGATGCTCCCCAGAATGGACATAGAGGCAGGGCCAACAGGACCTCCTTTTCTTCTTTGTTTTTTTTGTTTTCTTTTTCCTTTCAAAAGACTCTTTGACCCAAATTCACCCAATCCAAGTCCTGTCTGTTATAGGCTGTGTGAGCACTGTGAAGTCTGTGTTTCGTTCTCCCTTGCGCTCCCTGTTCATCTCATGCAGCAAATAAGTTCTGGACTTAGGAGTTACGGATAACATGCATCCATACTTTCCTGCCTTGGGCTTATCCACGCATGCGCAGCATCGAACCGGCACCCTTTGCCACAACAGCTAAGTCTCTTTCTTAATCACTACAGGGAGGACACTGTGTTCAAAAGTGGAATCGTACTCGTCATGATATCCACCCCACTCAAGTCTGGACTCAAGTCTGGACTCAGGTCAAGCTGGTGCTGATGTTATCCTCTTTCTCTATTTGCAGAGCGGCCCTTTCACATGGTCAAAACCTGCATGGATTATCCGATATGCGAAAATGTCTTCAGTCGCTCATGATTGACAGTGGAGATCTTCAGCAGGACAATGATCGAGACTCGAGAGGAGGTTGGGTGGAGGACACAGTCGTAGATGATCAAGCAGCATCCTCAGGCTTGGCACATGCAGTAGTAGTACCACCTATCGAACCAGCGGATGGCGAAATGTGGCCCAATGTTTCAGCGACAGGCTTTCGCAGTGGGAAAGGCTTTCTCTTTTTGCACGGAAGTGTAAACCAGGTGAACCAGGCTGTATCTTGTATTGCATTCAAAGATCAGACTCTGAACGTGCGACAGGTGGCACAAAGGGCATTACAGATGCTGGAGATGTCGGTCAGGACGGCTTCGGCAGTTAAGGCTTCCCTGGAGTGCAATGGCGAACAAGTGTCAGCAAGCATGAATGGTCAGACTCATCATCCATGTCCGACTTCGACTTCGTCACTACGGAATGTGAAGGTAGGTCTCTCTCTGCCATAATCGTGACAATGATGATTGCTTTGTGCTGCTGCTGAATGGCCTTCCACGATTCAGACCCCAAATTCGATCTCTGGGTCAGATGCCCTGGTCAAGAAAAGGTCGAGTTCGTCAAACTCAGAAAAGTCACAGTCGGGTACCTCAGCAGTCTGGTCCAACAGGCACCCAGCAAACAGTCACATCTCAGGGACAAGAGTCACGTCTCATAATAAAAAGCCAATTTGAAGAGTCACATCCCACGAGTGAAAAGGTAGATTCACAAGCAAGAGTCATGTCTCAAAGGCAGGAGTCACGTCTCATAATGAAAAGTCATATTGAAGAGTCACATCCCACGAGTAAAAGGGTAGTTCCACAGGCAAAAGTCGTGTTCCAGAGGCAGGAGTCACAGTCCACAGTCAAAAGTCATGTTCACAAGTGAAAAGTCATGACTTAAAGGCCCAAGCAGCTGCAGACCAAAGGAAATTCGGGAAGGTTCCAGGCCTTGACATTCAGAAGCAGACAGGCCGTGGGGATGTGGTACTGGAACCAGGGAGATCCCAGAAAGCAGAGGCTGGCACGAGTTGAAGAGCATTCCAAGACTACAAAAGGACTGGCCAGCCTACCATTCGGGCAGATGGCTCATTCGCAAGAAGTGTGGAAGAGCTGGTGCACTTGTGCGCTGATGTGAGGGGCAGAGCGCTGAAGCCAGGATGCTGCGCTAAGAGAGAGAGAGAGGGAGGAAGACAGCACTGGCAGGGAGAAGGCAGCCATAGCTGCGCCAGCGCAGGGTGTTAATGTTAGTAGATAGTAGTAGACTACAGAGGGGTTAGTAGAGATGACACTGGATGTATTCAGAGTAGATCTTTGAGTGGAAGTTAGTGTGTGTGTGCATGCATGTAGGGAGAGAAGATACAGCGAGGTCGTAGCTAGAGAGAAGACCAGCAAGGAGGGGTGATACAACAGAGAGAGGAGCAGAGAGGAAGAAGATACTTACCTGGGTGATTATGTTGAATGTTTGGTTGCCCATGACATGCGCTGTTGTGCGCCGGTGACTCGAAACTCTTATTGCTCTTGTTATAACTTGTTGGAATTCATAAGCTGCGCTATCTGGTCTTAATCTCTCTGGTCTCCAGTGTGGTGCAATCAGACTCGCTTTCTTCTTCGCTTCACATACATGCAAACAGATGGCGACTCACACTGGCGCACAGCGCCCACTCAAAACTCAGAGATATGGAAAACGAGAACACAGTTCAGATGCAAAGTTGCTTCAACAGGCTATGGCGCATTAGCGCGTGCACATCCCAACTCTCGGTACTGTTTCCAACACCACTGTTCGCACTCACTCAACTCTGGATCACCCTGAATACCCCACACACATTCACTGTATCACACACTCATACGCTAGCCCCTCTCTCCTATCTACAGCGGCTATGGCTGCTCAACTACTAACTACGGCTACGCTATCGTCTTCCAGCCCACTTCGACTTCGGGCGCTCTGCAGACCACCTCGCACAAGACGCTGGGGCAGCGCTTCCGCATGGCTTACGCAGCGAATGAATGAATAGCTGAACGCTGCCTCTTGATTTATACTTCTGTTGGTCGCTGGTCTGCCTCTTTCCACCGGCCCTTTGGTGCACACAGTCCCATACGGTACTTGCTGGACTAGACAAGTGTGACTGAGACCGGTACCACTGACTGAACGGGACTGTACTGCCGACTCAGTGGGATTGTACTGCCGACTTGGCGCAGTTGGACCTACGACTTGCCTGCAGACCTCTAGCCTAGCAGTTTCGACCTCTACACAGCTTTAACCCCTACTTGACAGATCTACAGATCGAACCCCTACAGCTACAGGGACCTACGACAAACAACAGTTACTACTAAAACACAGGTCGCGGGCTCAAGACACACAGGGGTCTACTCGATACTGTACACGGGTGCAGGTAAGACGTCTAGGGATCGAACCCCGGGATCTGCATCTGCTTCTGCAAATGTGAAAACCGTTTCACTCCTGCCGGCCTAAATTCGAGGTGCTCGGAGAATACTTCAGTCTAAGGCAGGATCTTTACCCTTTTTATCTCTCTCATAGGCTCGTACTATATTGGGAGCTCTCTAGAAATTCTGCTCTGGTGAACCAGCGGTCATCTTCAGGTTCTTGATAAGAGAATCTGACTTTGTACTATTTCTGTGGACGACCTCTACCTCCTGTTTTGAAGACATCCTCACCTACTATGCCATCAATGTCGTACCTTCCATCCATATCCGGAGGAATCATAGACCTTCATGATGGAAACTGTTGACTCGTAGTACAAGGTAACAACTTTGACGCATGGAAAACGGGGTAGGTGTGGAGGTGTGCTGGATCTCTATCGTGTAGGATGGATGGTCCATCCTCTCCTCCCTTATCTTCTAGAACTCGCCATGGTCCTCTATATGCAAGTAGCAGTTTCTGCGAGATGTTCTCCTTAAAGCAAACTCTTTTGACTTGACCCAGACTAAGTCGCCTACTTGGAACTATGAAGGGCGACGGTGCTTGTTGGCTTGTTCTATCATCTTGTGTTGGGCCTTCCTGAAGTTCTCAACTGCTGTAGCAATTTCTTTCTCGTGCAGTATCACAAATTCCTTGGTACCGGGAGGTAGCCTCTGAATCTGGTCCCGGTTAAGTCCCTCAAACGGTCTGCGCGGTCTAAAGGACTTATGCAGTTCGTTGGGAGTGCGACAAGTGGCTAAGTGCATGCTAAGTGCATGCTATTGTTGTAAGCACTGGCTACCTTTGGGAGCATCTCATCCCAGTTAAGCTGGTCGGGCCTAATGTACATCCTCATAACTTGCTGCAGGACTTTGTTCATCTGTTCAGTATGACTGTTTGTCTCTGGATGATGGCCAGATGACATTAACAACTTTGATCCGTAGACTTTCATTAACTCCTGCAAGTTCTGACTAGTGAACCATGCGTCTCTGTCACTAACCATAGACAACGGTACCCCATGTTCACTGACCGAATAGTCGAAAAACTTCCGTATTACTAATTTTGTACGTGCCTCAGAGGGCAAAGGAACAAAAATGGCATACTTGCTAAACCTATCTACTACGACCATAACTTGGCTCTTGCCATGTCTACTCTTGACACCAGCGCCCATGAAGTCTATAGACACTGAATCTCTGGGTCCTTCGGGGATAGGCAAGGGTCTGAGAACACCTAGAGGGGCTTGCATAGTAGTCTTATTCCTTTGACAAACTTTGCAGCTGCGTACGTATTTTATGCAGCCAGCCTTCATACCAGGCCAGGTATACACGCGCATGAGGTTGGCTAATGTCTTCTGCCAACCGAAATGTCCCTCTGTATCATGGCATTCCCCTAGGATCAAACTTCGGATTTCTTCGCTATTGGGAATGCAAGGCGGTCAACAACATTAGTCTTCTCAAATAACAAGTCGTCTATTGTGCGGTAATCTGGTTCTGATTCTGGTGCCTCCTTAACTCTCTTGAGGAGGTCGCTATGGATAGGGTCCTACGCATACGCTTCTTTAATTCTCTGTTACAGGTCTCTCCCTATATCCAGATAGTGCACTATCGCTCCAAAGCAGTCTGATTTCCTACTCAGGGCGTCCGCAACTACATTGTATTTTCCCTTGACTGGCTTGAGCTCAAAGTCATACTGATCTATCTCTACGGCCCACCTGGTTAGCTTTGGTGTCATCTTGGCCTGCGTTTTCGGCCACCTTAGCATCTCGTGGTCTGAATACACTTTGAAGTGCCTCCCTAGCAAGTAGTGCTTCCAGTGTTCTAATGCTTGCCTGAGAGCGTAGAGTTCCCTCTCGTAGGTGGATGTCGCTACCTTTTCTGAAGGCATTCTAGCAGACATGAACTCTACGAGTCTGTATCCATTACCATCGTTTTGTTGTAGAACAACACCTATGTCATATTGACTTGCATCAGTGGTGACGACGAATGGCAATGATGGATCGACTACCTTAAGGACAAGATACTCTATTAGGGCCCGCTTTAACTTCTTCAGGGCCGACGTACAGTCTTTATACCATTTCCAGATTGCCTTTTTCTTCAGCAATCTGCGAAGGGGAGCAGCGATGGTGGAGAAGTTCCTGACGAACTTTCTATAATAATTCGCCAACCCCAAGAACGACCGCAACTCTGTCAGCGTGCGGGGAGTCGGCCAATCTTGTCTTACTGTCCTCATGCTTTATTCCATGTCCATCTAGGACGTGGCCCAGTTATAAAACTTGTGTCTTGGCCCACTCACACTTCGCCGCATTAATTTTGAAGTTAGCCTCTCTCAGCTTCCCCAAGACTTGCCTCAGATGACCCTCGTGCTCTTGGAGGGTCTTGGTAAACACTAAAATGTCATCTAAATATACAACTACGAATCTGTCTAACCACGGCCTAAACAAGTCATTCATACAAAGTTGAAACGTAGTTGGCGCGTTGGTTAGTCCAAAGGGCATCACTATAGTGCCCGTATCTGGTCCTGAACGTCGTTTTGTGCTGATCATCAAGATGAACCTCTATCTGATGACGTCAAATCTATCTTAGAGAAGTATCTGCAGCCCTGCACTCGATCCAACAAATCAGCAGGCAAAGGAATGAACATAGCATATTGCGAGAATCGATCTACAATGACCATTACCTGACTAATGTCGTTTCGGCTTTTAGTTCGACTTATTAAGCGTATGGAGATAGACTCACCTGACTCACTTGGTATAGGTAGTGGTCTCAATAGTCCCAAGGGATTCTCATGTGAGGGCGTGCTTCTCTGACAAACAAGACAAGTTCGCACATAGGTCAGTACATCCTCTTTCATTTCTTTCCGTTCACAGCGTTCTCTTACATCGGCATACGTCTTCTTAAAACCAAAGTGTCCCTCATTATCATGACATTCCCCAATGATTAGACTTTTGATCTGTTCTTGGTGAGGAATACACAGTCTTTCTTCGCACAAAGGCCCCGAGGGCAGAACTGAAAAATGCGGTATTTGAAAGTGGCACTTGAACTGCAGCATGGCGCCAGTTGTCCACATTCCTACGGTACCAAAGGAGGGGTTTGGAAAAAGGGTGTCAGGCCGAAAACAGGATGCAGCCGAAACAGCAAAAAGATAGACCAGGGATCGAGCCCTGGCGGAGTCCGTAACACTATCCCCTCCCTCTAGAAGGCAACGTCCCGGCTGCCAAAAATCATGAAGCAATGCTGAAATTTGTGAAGGAGGGGACGGGGCCGATCACTGGTTAACAAGTCGAAAGGGAAGAGGGGTATAATGTGGGTGGCATGGGCTGTGGGAGTAAGAGGGAACAGGGTTTGGTACCGGTGAACAGAGTTGTCTTACTGATGAACTAGGGGGGGTTGGAGGGAACAGGGTAGTCCTACAAATGAACTAAAGGGACGACATGGTTTGCTATAGGTTAAGGGGGAGCACAGTGCAGGGAACAGGGAACTTCTTTTGATGTTCAAATGGGTAAGGGAAACGGTGTTCAGGAAAACAGGGTATTTCTATTGATGTTGTAGTGGGTAAGGGAAACAATGGTCAGGGGAACAGGGGATGTCTATTGATGTTCTGGTGGGTACGGGGAACAATGGTTAGGGAAACAGGGATCTATTAATGATGTTCTGCAGGGTTGTCAAAGTCAGGAAAAATAAAAATGAAAATGTTTGTTCAGGATGCAAGGGCTAGTGTTTCCGAAGGAGTCGGAAGCAGAATCTCATGTAGGAACAAAGTGTCCAAGTGTGTTGAAAGGGGGTATGCAGCGGTCTTGATCAGGTCGTTGGAGTAGGGGGTAGAAGCGGTCTTCAGCGGCTGCGACAGGTAGAAGTCCAAGAAGCTTAGTAGTAGTTCAAGTGTCAAAGTCCAAGTGCTAGGGTGCGTCCGGTACACGAACTGCAATGAGGTCTGATCTATCCATGTCACAAGTTGCTGCTCCAGTAAGTCCGCGAGTCGGGATGCCGGCCGATGAAACAGCATGGTGGCCAAACCAGCTGCGTAATCTTCATGAACAGTGAGGCAGCAGACCATCGTCCTCGTGCGCGAGCCATTAGATCCTTTATCGCCGACGTCACGCAGGTTCACAAGCATTGGACAAGAGAGACAAGGTAGTGGAGAGGACAGATGGGACAAGGCTAGGCGAGGGCAAGTGCAGATCAGACATCAGGAATCAGGGTTAAGGGGAGGGTGGACTGGGTTCAAGGGTGTGTGTAGAGTGGGGTTGCGAGGTTGTAGCAAGGTTTATACAGGGTTTAGGGTTGGATTGCGAGAGACAGGGGGACATTATTCAGGTGGAGGGGGGCCCGACTGTCGTGGTGGAGGAAGAAGTGGGAGTAGAAGGGTCGGGTTCCGTAGAGCGAGGGGTCTGTCGAGTAAAGTGGCTAGCGTTGGGGCAGTTGGTCTGTTGATGACCTAACTGGCGGCAGTGAAAACACCCGTTGTGTTCCTGGAGGTATATGCGTTCTGCGGGTGTGAGTTTTTGGAGGCGACGGGGTGGAGAGGGAGAAGGAAGTCGGGAGGCACGATCCTGGCGTTCCATCCGTATAAGGTGGGTCGTCTGGAGGTCCTCATTGGTGAATTGGGAGGGGTCCAGAGAGGCATTGTCGAAGTCGTCATCGGAGGTGGGTTGAGTGGTGTCGTTATGGAAAAAGCGGGGGCGGGAGGGAGCGAGCACGGACTGGTGATGGGGGTGGAGGAGTCGATCGTGGTGAAGCACGCGAGAGAGGAGGTCAGAAAGGGGTATGTCGGGTTCATGGGTGAGGGCAGTTGCAAGATCTTTGTGGCATACTCGCTTGATGCGGGAGATGAATGCAAAGTCAGGAATGATGGTGGTGGGGAGGTGATGGCGGAGGGAGCGGATGTATTGGACGAAGCGGTCCGTGGGACCGGTCTGGCGGAGGTGACAGAATTGTTAGAGGTAGTCATCAATGGTTTTCTGGGGGCGAAAGGTGGCAGTGAGAAGTTTGGCCCATTGGAGGAAGGAGTGATGTGGTCCTCCGGAGGCTCGGCGGTTGCTGACTTTGGCCATCCACCATTTGGCGGCATTGTCGAGGAGGCAGGAGGTGGCAATGGGGAGTCAGTGGACAAGGGGCATGTGGTGGAGGTGAAAAGAGTTCTGGAGCTGGGTTAGGAAGAGGAAAACGTCTTCGTGGGGGAGGCGGGAGAAGGACATGATGTCAACGAATCGGAAGGAACGGGGGATTTCCCTGTCGTGGGGAACGATCCGGGTCAGGGTGTTGAAGCTGAGGTTATCGGGGGTGGTGTCGTAGCAGGTGTAGTCGAGTTGGTTGTTGTCCTCAAGGAGGTAGTTGGGGGGAAGTTGTGGCATTGCGGGGTAAACCCCGGAGTTGACTTGGGAATAGGTGGGACGGGGGGTGGGGATGGTGGACGTCGTCATGA